TATAGGGAACAGTTGAAGAAAAATTTCATGAGGGTATAAGAGAGTCAGATAGCTTATATATATGACATAGAGCATTATGCGCGATTTTTATAAGTGTGACTGATAATGTTATGCGAGAAATTGCTGAAGAAAGTTCAGCTTCAGCTACATAAAAAAAACTTTAAGAGTTGTACTCAATATGAGAAGAAATGAAGGTACGCCCATTAAAAAATATTTTGATGAATTTAATTCCATAATTATGGACTTGAATAACATAAATATCAATATTGATAATGAGGATCAGACGTTGATTGTATTTGTGTTCATTACCATCTTCTTATGAGGATTTTATTAATACTCTATTATATGGGAAAACTAGTATTTCACTAGATGATGTTAGTAATGCACTAAAATAAAATGAGTTAAAAATGAACTTTTCAACATATAAAACAGAATGAGAGAGTTTGGTAAACAGGTGAAGAACACAAACTAAGGGAATACCAAAATCTAGAGGTAAAAAGGTAAATTATTTTGAGTGTGGGGAGCAAGATCGCTTTAGGAGATATGTTCCTAGGGTGAAAAAAAGAAAGAGGTAAGAGAGTTTTATTAGTATAATCGATAAGAATAATTTTGATAATAGTGATGATAGTATTGATGATGAAGTTCTATATGTGAGATCATAAAAAGAATTCTTGAATTTTTTATTTTGGCGCTACATTTTACATGTGTCCATATAAACATGATTTGATACTTATAAGCAAATGAGTGCTACTATGTTTATAGGAGATGGCATTTTGTTGACTGTAGTTGGGATTGGTACTATTATATTAAGAATGTTTGATGGTGTTATCAAAACTATTGAGTATTAGTATGTTCCTTATATGAAGAGAAATCTGATTTTTCTTCCTTCACTGGATCTCAAGGTTATAAATTTCATGCAAAATGATGCTCTCAAAGTGTGTAAAGGGTTCAAGGTGCTCATTAAAGGCAATTTAAAATCTAGATTTTATGTTCTTCAAGGAAGTGTTGTTTCAGGGGAAACTGGTATAACATTTTAGAGTAATAATTAGAATCAATTGTGACATCTATGTTTAGGTCATACGCGTGACAATGGATTATCTGTGTTGACCGAGCAGAGTTTGTTAAACGGGTATAAAGAATGAGTCATGGATTTCTGTGAACATTGTGTGTTTGACAATCAAATTATGGTGAAATTCAATAGAAGGGTTGTGCATATGACTAGAAGTAAGTTAGATTATGTTCATTCTAACTTATGGGGTCTTTATAGAGTTCCCTCTAAGAGTGATGTCAAGTATTTTATCACTCTGATTAATGATTATGCTTGGAATATTTTGATGTATTTTTTATAATCCAAAATAAAGGCATTTTCAACATTTTGCAGATGGAAGATCATGATTGAGAAGTAGATAGAGACAAAGATCAAAATGTCTTATGACTAAGAATGTGTTAGAATTTTGAAATCATGTGTTTAATGATTTGTGAAATATAAAAGGTATAGTGAGACACCACACTTGTATTGAAATACTACAATATAATGGTATTACGTAACGCATGAATAGGAAGCTTTATAATAGAGCATAAAACATGTTGTTTCATTTAGGTTTGGTACTTGAATTTTGGGCTGAGCCTGTGAACACTACTTATTACTTGGTTAATAAATCTTCATCCATAATTATTGAGTGCAAAACTCCTTTTGAGATATGGTCCGCTTCACTTGTCGATTACTCTCAGTTGATGGTGTTTAGTTGTCCTACTTATACTCATGTGAGAGATGGTAAGCTTGAGCTGAGGAAACAAAATGCATATTTATGGAGTATATATATAGAGTGAAAGAAAAGGCAAAATGCATGACATTTAATGAGTCTGTTTGACTAGACAGTCAAAAAGAAAAGGCAATAGCATAATCAAATTATGATTTTAGAGAACAATTAGAACTAAAAATTCAATCCAATGATCTAAGGAATGAAGTACAGGTTCTTAATAAAAAATATAATAATACACCTGGTTAACAACAACTATATAGTATTGCAATAGGTATGAAGATAAAACAAATTAAATCATTACAGAGATATGAGAATTTGATTACATATGTATTATTAATTGCAAAGATTGTTGATTTACAGGAATCAAGGAGTTTATATGTATATCAGGGAGTTGGTGTTTTTTAAAGAACTTGATGACAGTTATCACTTTATTCGGGGATCAAGTAACAA